CTGGCAACATTCAATTCTTGTGATTGTAAAAAATTATCTAAAAATTTCGATATCTGAAGTGATAAAACACGGGCAATTAACTTTGTATAAATCTATGTTTCTATTACACGTTTTCAATATTCCCAAATTTCTATTGAAGATTCGATTAGTTAGTTAGACGGTACATTGTAGTTTTATTGTTGATTAGTTTATAATTGGGAGTGTTTATTACTGTACGGAGTGGATAGACATACATACCTACTTATGTAGCCTATATATATGAATACGCATATACGCATGTATAGGATGCATATATTAGGTTGCTTCACTCTCCATACAAAAAAAAAATGGGCACTGGTTTTCCTTAGCAATTATAAAATTTATTATATTCTAATGGCCTCATTCGTAAAAAATAAAGTAGGTTTAAAGAGCTTTATAAAATGACTGCTTTATAAATTTTTCAGTTTATAAACTTTTTTTAAAGCTGCTTTATTTTTTATGAATAACGTCATAAGATTTCTCCCAAAATATTTTGGAAAAATATTAAGATTTACGTAAGCTGCACCGATTTGAATCTACCTCCATAAATAAAATTTGTTTTTTTTTTAAAATATTTTTTCCCAAAAAATCACTTTTGATAATAGAAGTGTTTAAGCCTAAAAATGTTAAAAAACTATCAACTACTAGGCGGAAATCTTAAAATACTATAATAAACATTTCCGGGTTAGAACCGTTACTTCTTTGGTGGGGCACGCTAATGCATATGCATGTCTGTACATACATATACATATCGCCCTTTTGCTGTAAGAGTGTCATAATCAAAAAGAAAATAAACAAATAAAATTAGTTAGTTCTTCTATGTTGTGCAAAGATTTCATAGCTGCATCTATTAACCATAACAAATTAGAAAAAAAACGTGTCTTCATTTTTACATTGGAAGCGTAAGTAAACTATAAACTTTAAGGCCGATTTTCTCGAGCTTTTAATTTTTTGGATTGCAAGCAAACCGTTAAAAAAATATATATATTTATAAATTTTATCTTTACGATTATCGTAATTTTTTCTCTCAGCGACATACATACATATGTACTTACTCCAGGGTCTTAAAGATATGGGCCAATAAAATAACTGCAAGTAAAGTAATAAATAACTGTCGCGGAGACACGGTGGCTGTGTTATGAAATATATTTACTTAGATAGCAATGCAAATGGATCATAATTGGAGTAACTACTATGTACGAATAATTGTCAGTATTAAGAATAAATAGTGGGTGCCTCAAAAGCTTAAAAGCTTTAGAATATTGCATTTAAAACTTCAGCAATTTTCAATGAATTGTTTATATACCCTTTGCAACTTTGCAAGTCGGTGTTTTTAGGGTTTTAAAATAAAACATTTGCTAAGTTATAACAAAGTCGACTAGTATGGATACATACTAGTAGATATACTTAATCATAAAAGGCCTCCGTCCGTCGCAGACTAGAACTAGTCCTTGCTTACGCCATGAACTAGTATGGATGTATATATTTTGGGCCAACATTCTCAACGGTTGCCACGGGAAGCATAATTTTTTTTATTGTAATACTATCCATTGCTTACAGCTTAGGGCATTTTTGTAAAGTTGAAAACGACAGCTAAAGCTTAGCGTCAAAAATTTTTTTTTTTTAAATAATTCTG